AGGATGACCTCCCTCGACCTGCTGGCCACACTCTTCTTCATGCTACCCAGGATACCATTGGCCTTCTTCGCCACAAGGCCACATGGCTGGCTCATGGTCTGCTTGCTGTCCACCAGGAGACTCCCAGGTCCTTCTCCGCAAAGGTGCTTTCCAGCAGGTTTACCCCCAACCTGTACTGGTGCATGGAGTCATTCCTTCCCAGGTGCAGGACCCTGCACTTGTCCTTGTTGAACCTCATCAGGTTCCTCTCTGCCCAGCTCTCCAGCCTGTCCAGGTCTCACTGAATGGCAGCACAGCCTTCTGGTGTGTCACCCACTCCTCCCAGTTTAGTATCGTCAGCAGACCAGGCCTGATTGAAAGGTTAGGGGTGCTTTAGGCTGGGAAGAGTCCTCACCACTCTGAGCAGCTTGAATTGTCACACTGGTATTTCCTTTTCCACCTTCCCCTCCACAGTTTTGCAGGGTGCATGAATAAATTAGAAAGGGAGAGGTGTATCCACTTCCTGTGGTTTGCTGTACTTCATCTTCTTCCTCTGTATAACGGGGGAAAAAATCGATACAGTAATATACTAGGGAAAAAACATTACTGCTTGAAGGGTTCAAAGATACTGCATGGTGAAACGGTTCACAAGTCCACCCACAAGGGTAGAAAGAAAAAATCACAGGCATGCCACTCACTTGAAACTGGTTTAGGAACAAAAGCAGCAGGTGTCCTTTGAATATGGAAATCAGTGACAAAACCAGGCAGTTTGTAGCTGTGGGGTTTTTATGTTAACAAGTCATGTAGTTGTGAATATACATATGTAAAATACAAAGAGTAAAAACATGTTTCTTGGATTTATGACTATAGATAATGAGCATATTCCACCAAAGTGTTTTCTGTAACCCACCATGCATTTCTGTAAACATGTCCATGATGCCTGTTAATCACTGATGAAGTCTTTCATAAATCCAACATTACTGTAGTGTGTCATCCCCTTTTCTCTTCTACCTGTACTTTTTATTTTGTTCTTAAGGTACCCATGAGAAGTTGTGCTTTATTTTTCCCTATTTCCTACTCCAATTCTCAGCATTCAAAGGAAAAAAAAATAGAAATGCAGCTAAACAATTGGTTCATATTGCTAAACATGAAATATTAATAAATAAAATTTCCAGTTATTTAATTTTATATTAATAAATTTAGAACATCTGTTTGCACCTGACTTATTTTGGTATCTAGGGCATCCATTGCTCTGAAGTCTAATAGCTCTGTTGCCTTGTGTCTCACTTAGTGCCCCTGCTCCTGCTTTCTCCAAGGTTCCAGAACTTCTTTGCTTCTGTCATTCTTTGAACTTCCTTCAGCTGTTTAGATCTTTGCTCTTTCCTTTTTTTTAATTGTGGATTTCACAGATGTTTCGCTGGATTTCTTCTTTTTTCCTCTGTTCTCACCTCCTTTTTGTTTGGATCATGTTAGGTCTGCCCGTGGCCACTTTCTGTCTCAATTTAGAGTTTTAGGACTTTATGGCAGTTTTTATATCCTTCTGGATGTTTCTGGCTTAACTGGTGTGATGCAAGGGATGAAGAAAGCTTTCTTTAAATCCTTCCTTGTTATTCCTCCCCAACTCACAAATCTGCACTTTCCTGTCTTTCAGTGGAACATCTTTGATTTTGTTTCTTCACTTGTCTTCACTCATTGGATTTTGCCAGTTTTGTCGTGCATTTCCCATAAGACCTGCCCGTCCTCTCTCTCCCGTTTACAAGTGTTTGTGTGTCTCATGTAGTATTGCAGTTAGCTTCATTCTACCAATAAATGTAACCTTCAGAATAATTTATATTAATTGGTAACAACACTTGAGACTGGTAGAAGTATTGAGCAGGGGTGGTCAGACAATTTTTAATCATACTTTTTAAACTAGTCTTTTCATAACTCATGCGTTCACCAATGCACAGAAGAAACTGGCTCTTCTCAACTCTTTTTTTTTTTCTTCATTCGTGTTCTTTGTTCTTCCTTTATTTTTCCTGTAGAATTACTACTAGGGTGGAAAAGTACTTCCTGAGAAGATGGTGCATACTGCTCTATTTACGGTGGAGGTTTTGGTGACCAGGAATAGTTACTTAAACTGTCTCTGGGCAGTCTGGTGGGTTGGCAATGAAGTCAGGAGTTTCTGGCTTGGTGAATGTGTGAGTAGTGAGATCGATGATTTTACAGGTCAGACAAACTTGCTTTGTTATCCTGCTTAGAATTACCATCCAGTATTCAGCGTTGCTAAAGTTAGTGCAGTTATTTATAGCTATTAATTCAGCATGTAACTTCTCAAATGGGGGCCTGAATCAGTAAATACATCAAGAATAAGCAGACAGTTTCTTTAAGTTCTAGATTCTATGATACAGTATTAAAGCAGTGACTTGCATAGATCAATAACTGTGCTGTGCTCTTGAGTTTTCTTTTATAAATGCTTCCCTGAGCAAAGCTTTGCCTGGCTACAGTCTTAGCTATGTTGACTTTTCTTTCTGTTGCTAATATTGCTTTACAGATCCTTAAGAATAATTGGCTTTGTAATCATGACCAGTAGTCACTGCTCAGTAATAAAACATGGGCTAAGAGAAACCTGTCTGCATTACAGTTTTGTATAATGTTGTCCTTACATAAGGTGGTTTTAAACTTTGGAGTCAGTGAATGCTTAGCATTTAACACAACTTTAAAACTGTGTTTCCTAGTTGCCCTTAAATTTAGATTGTTACTTGCTTTTGGACTGAAATCTTACAGGACTATCTGCTGGGCATAGGTGAATATTTTAACAACTCTTAAGCCAGACATTGAGGCAAGGATTTGATTTTATGAATAATACATCCCTAGTGGTTTTCCTGTTTGTTTGCTTTTAAACAATGCTGTAACTTAAGCACTTGGGGAATTTAGCTTGGAACAGCCTGGGTTAAAAGAAATAGTAATAAATGTGATTTTGATTTAATGAAGTTTTGGGGTTGCTTTTTTTTTTTTCTTATCCAATATTAGTGCCACAGTACAAATCCTATCTGGACTGTCATTCCACATCTGCAAGCAGAAACATGCATACATGGTTTATTTCAGTTTTATGCATATCAGCAGGCTGAAATGATTGGTTTGCATCAGTAAAGCACTTCTATCCTTAAGGTTTCCATTAGTGCAGCTGTACCCATGTTGAAATTATATATGTCTGTATGAACAAAGGAGGCCTCAGCTGCAAATATGTAGAAGATACATGCTATGAATGTGCACTGCATACACACTGCTCAGTTAGCTTCGTGATGTAGTTACGGTTAAGGTATATAATCATGGGGCAGCACCCATCTCCATTTTCCAGCAAGTGACTTTAAACATTGGGGATTTGATTTGAGGTTTTGTGTACTTTATCTTGTTTTTTTTTTTGACAAAGAAACCAATGGAGTTGTTTGGATTAATTTCTTTAAGGTGCAGCAGTCCTTGACTGAACAGGGAAGTTGTGTGCACAGTCAGCCTGTATGTACTCATTGGCCACCTACAGCTTTTTATTAGTAACATGCAGTTGTTCTGATCTGTTATGTAAAACACACAGGAGTTTTTTCTTTTTTGTGATTTTTCTCATACCTAGAAATTCTGTAAGTCCTCAGGCAACCTGACCTTCCGTTTGCATACAACAGAGAGAGGCAGGTGTACTCAGGGATGTAGAAGCAGACTGTAGGGCATCATAGGAGGCATAAGATACTGCTTTGGTGACTGGAGAGATATCCAGCTTGAACTCTTTTCTCAGTGGAGTAGGTTGGAGGGATCTGCAGGTGTTGTTCAGAGAATATGCTGACTGCTGCTTCTTCAAACAGATTGCTAAAGCGCTTGCCATGTATTTGGTGAGCCTGTATGTGAAGAAAGCCTAAGCTTTATTGCAACTTTAGTTTTGATATTTTTTGACTAAGGGATTTCAGCTTGCTCAGTCAGTTCTTTGTGTAAATGTACTGTTTTTAGTATAAAATCCCACCTTGTTTAGAGACTAAGAATTTGGGTTACATTTCATGCTACAGGAGGATATCAAATGGACTGAACTTTTGTTCCACTGGACTTCTGGTAAAATTTCACCCTTTCTGTTTTGCAGATACAAATGAGCATAGAAACTCCTGTATTAAAGTAGACGCTCTATAGTCGGGGAAATTTGCTCTTCAGGTGATTTGCTCCCCCTTCTCTCATCTCACACTCTTTGTGGGAAAAATGAGCTCTGTCATTTTACCTTGTAGCATAATTGTTGTGTTAAGCAGACTGTTTATTCTTTGTCTGTTAAGAAATATTCCAAGGTAAACACTATAATCTTTAGTTCAGCTATACTTTGGCTCCTGCAGCCTTTTTTTTTTCTACTTTTTAGTCCTGAAAAGCTTTTGACGTCACTTCTACAAGTATCTGATGTGTTATGAGGACTGTGCATGTTTGCAGTGTATGTTTACAGAGAGCTTCAGTAGATTGGGTGCTTTGCTGGTATTTTCTTATCTGTACATTACTCGCTATATAGTAGCTTTACTTAACTGTAGTTTTGAAAGCATAATTAACATTTGAAATTCTTTGACTTTTAAATATGACAAAGTCATCCTGTGGTATATTTATGTCAAGAGTTTTTTTCAACACTGGAGCTTTCCATTAACAGCAGGATCTTCATTTGATTTCTCTAGGCATCATAATTTTAGGTTGAATCATTAGCTTAACCCCAGAGAGAATGATTTCTATACATATAGTACAGCTGCACTGAAGGGTTTATATAAAACAAGCCGAAACCTCGAGTAATTACTCTACAGTATTATATTTGCATATTTCCACATTGCAAATAGTTTAAAAAAACTGACAAAAGTGAAATTTTAGAACAACCTCCATTCATCTGCTCCTCACATGAAAACTGCGTGGCCACCACAGGACAAAATACAGTTTACGTGCTCAAGCCAGAAGCTATTAGGCTTCGCTAGACAATAAGAAATCAGACTATTTAAACCATAGAATTGGAAAAACCAGAACGTTATGTTTTATTGTAGGTTCGGGAACTGCAAACCCGTTTGCAAAGCGTACAGGCGACAGGCCCATCCAGCCCAAGTCGTCTCACTTCTGCCAATCGACCCATTAACCCCAGCACGGGAGAGCTGAGCACAAGCAGCAGTAGCAATGACATTCCCATAGCCAAGGTGAGCTACTCTGTGTTGCAGTAATGCTACTCATTCTCTGGGAGACGTGGGCTTCATTTTGCACAGCTGCTGTGCAAGCATGTGAGTAACTGGGAGGTACCTAGAATTCCCAGAGAGTTTTCTGGGGTCCTAAGCAGGCCCATGAACTTGAGCTGCAGAAAGGAATTAACAGCTAATGTGTGTAATACTCTCAGTTATGACACTGGTGTCAGTTTTACAGTAGTTTAGTTCAGGTTTGCAAGTGTAGCTAGCAAAAAAAACGCATTTTCTGTAATCTTTATGGAGTATGGGTTCCTGTGTAACCTGTGCAGCATTCTGACTTACAGATTGCTGAAAGAGTGAAGTTGTCAAAGACAAGATCAGAGTCTTCATCATCTGATAGACCTGTCTTAGGATCAGAAATCAGCAGCATAGGGGTAAGGACTAATATTATGTGCATGTGTGATACTTTCCAAAGACGACCCATGTTCCATTAAAAGCAATATTGTTTTCTTACTTAAATTAATATATGAGCTAACTGAAAGTACTTTAAAAGTTACTTTGAGAAAAATATTTTGGCAGAATATTTCACCCAGTATTAAGATCTCATTTTATTATAACTGGTGGCTAGAGATTATTCTCTGAGTGACTTCAAGAGGATAATTTTGGAGTCAGTTCCTCCAAAATACTCTTCTTCAAGAAAAGACTGTTCAGTTGCATTTTACAACTTCCAGTCAACAGAGAGCTGAGTTCTACTTTGTAATGCAGATGTTGTTACTGTGTGTTAGCATTTGTTTCACTGAAGAACTTAACTCTGCCCTTTTGCTAAGCTTTCAAGAAAGTAAGTAATTTGCATATTAGGCTTTTTAAATGTATGGTGAAATAGTGGGCTTCACCCTTTGGTTAGTAGAATTTTAAATCAAAATAGCTTCTTGAAGTGGAAACTTGTAAAAATTCTAGTCGATGTAAAATTCATAGTAAAAACTGAATAATGAATGCTTTGAAGTGAGTGCATGCAAGCAAATGCAGCTGTCAATGCAGACTGCCTGTGAGAGAAATCCAGTGGTTATCCATTCACAATAGTCTGTTAACTGCCCTGTGCAGGTGTCTAGTACTGTGGCTGAACATTTGGCACATTCCCTCCAAGACTGCTCAAACATCCAGGAAATCTTCCAGACTCTGTATTCACATGGATCTGCTATCTCTGAAAGTAAAATCCGCGAGTTTGAAGTGGAGACAGAGAGATTGAATAGGTAACGTGAAAAGTTAGATATGCTCGAATGTGTTGTCTGCTATTAGCTCTGTTAAAGTTACTACTTTCTTGTCGTTTTTGAACATTTCTTAGTTCAATCCCAGCTCAGCTCTGGCAGCTGCAGATAGACATAGAATGTAGAGAAGAGAAAATTGAATTATATGCTAAGGACTTTCTCCATTAGCATGACAGTTTGGTCGTACATTATTAGATCAGCATGGCACCTTCACCTGTGAGAATTTGCACAGTAGAGTGTCCTTCTTTGTGGTGACCAAGTAGACATGGCGTCTTTTTTCGTAAGATGCATCGCTGCTAGAGTTAAGAATTCCCATAACTCATACTCCATCATTCTGGAATTAATTTGCTTTGTTTTGTCCTGAAGAAATAGAATTACATTATTAACAGTGTCAATGAATGTACTGATGTATGGTGGTGTAGCATTATATACCAGTAAATAGACTTTTTGTCTGCTGAAGAAAGTTTGCAGCTTTCTGGTTGCAGTTAAAATACTGCTGGTGTTACCCTTCAGTAAGCTCTACCAAAACCGATGCTTCATGTCCTCATTGGCACGTAAAATCAAAACTGTGGATCAGGAATGTGAGAGTCGTGTCTCAGCATGTTTCCTTCCAAGTTCTCTCTTCCCCACAGATATCTCAGATTTAGTCTGATCAGTACAGTATGTCTTCTGTTCGTAGCTCGTGTTTTTGTAGTGCTGCAAAATGTGATCCTTTTTTTCTTTTTAATTTTTTCTTCTTTTTTTTTATTTTTCCTCTTTTTATTTTTTCTTTTTTTGTTTTTAATTTCTTTTTTCTGTGCACTGCACGGTTGTGCTTTGACAACATGTACCCTTGTAGGAGGTGTCAAAGAAGATATAAGAGGTGAAGCATCAGAGAGTTCTAGCAGCTAGCAGAGTCAGGGCTTTATTCTGCTTGCTGAATAAATGATATACTAGGCCTTCTCTTTCTTTTTGTGTTTGTTAAGAAGTCAGTGATTTTAGAGTTCTGAATGGCACTGATTTCTTCATTAGCTAGCTGTCCAAATTTTGAAATCATTTGCCTGTCTGTTTTTGGTGTATGTCCCAACTTTTATGATTAGGCATAGTACATTGATGTGTAGTGCAGTTATCAGCAGTGAGAATATGCTGATATTCTGAAGCCTGATTTTCAGATTCAGAGTTAACCTCCTTGAGAAGAATATTACAATTAAGTTCTGGTATGAGCTTCTGTTTGATTATTGCCAGAACTTTTGGAGATTTCATTGCCTCATTGAAACATCGTATTTTGGAAGTTACCTCTCTAATCACAAACAAAGTATTACTTCAAGTGAAACGGTTATTCTGGATATTCCAAAGAAAGTGGGGCATTTATGCAGTTGCACACACAAACATTACGCTAATGAATATGCCACATAAAACAAGAAGCAAATGTGGCAACAGGAAGTGAGGAATGGAGGCAGAAAGATTAAGGTTAATAAGGAACTGTCCCACACAGTCTTGTGGCTGCAAAATAAGGGTACAGCTTTCTGCTTGCTGCTGCTGCACAAGGTTGTAATTGCTTTTTATGGCAAGGAGAGAAGAGGCTGACCTAAGAGAAATTACTATCCTCTTGGCTCTTGATAGCAGGACACAGAACTGATGTATTTTGCCATCTTCATTAAAAACCAAATGGTATTTATTGTTTTAAATTATGATTGTTCTAGAGTTTTCAAGACAGTGTCTGCAAGCTAAGCTTGAAGGTTGCAAATTACTTCCTTTTCTACAGCCGTATCGAGCACTTGAAATCCCAGAATGACTTGTTGACCATAACACTGGAAGAGTGCAAGAGCAATGCTGAGAGGATGAGCATGCTTGTTGGGAAGTACGAGTCCAATGCCACAGCCCTCAGGCTTGCGCTGCAGTACAGGTATGTACCTACACAGCCAGTTCTGGTCTTAAAACAAATTGTGTGTCTTTAAAGAATGTATTCTCTTACTGTCAGTCTCAAGCAAATTACAAGGAAATGTGAACTGCAAATAGGTGTATTAATGTATATATTTTCAAAAAACATTAGAATGCAACAGGAGTGAATGACTCCCAATTGTATTTAGAAACTATTATGATGTAAGGAGGAAAATCTTACAGACAGGACGGAGCAACAAGTATTTTTCTTGTCTTTTTTTCTTACTATACTTTGTAGAGCATAGTTATATAGTAGAGTATAGAATACTGTATTTTATGTAGTTAAAAGGCCTGAAAAAAGTTTCTCAAAGGAGGGATCATGTCTATCACCATGTCTATTGATCATATTGTTGACTGTTTCAAACGTGCTTTTGGGGCTTACTTCACATCAGGTCATTCTGTTTTAACTTGCTACATTACTTGGGGCCAACCAGGGACCATCAAAAGGAAGGAGAGACTTTTGAATGCTTGTGGTAAAAGCTATGTGTGTTATGTCATTTAATATCCCAGCTGCTAGATAAGTAGTAGGGAATCATGCGGTTCATCAGCTACCTCTTTTTTTTTTTTGTTGCTGTTTCAGGTATTCTTCCCCTCTAAATTCCTCTCTATATTTTGTGTGATTTTTGTTTTCTGTGGCTTGTTTTTTCTTTCAGTGAACAGTGCATAGAAGCATATGAGCTGCTGTTGGCATTGGCAGAAAGTGAGCAGAGTCTTATTCTTGGGCAATTCAGAGCTGCAGGTGTTGGTTCTGTCGGTAAGATGTCAATGAGTCACTTTATTTAATTTTTTTGGATGTCGTTTAGCACTAGAGTTAGTTGTAACAGTGAATCATCTCATGACCTATCACTTAAAAATGCTCTCCAGTCTTTTCTCGTTTTTAACTAATTAAATCCTTTCACACGCCCAAAAAATAGGGAAAAAGAAGAAGAGCAACTGGAATTAAATCATAAATTCACCAGCAATTCAAATCAGCCTGCATATACTATCACAAAGGTATAACTATTCTGGCAGTGGTGAGGCTGTTCAGATATGCAACTGTACAGAGTGGAATTATTAAACAATACTGATGAGTATATGTGACTTAGGGCCATACAGCTGTGGTAACTGCAAGGACAGATTTTTTTTTGAACCAGCAACACTGGGCCCCTAGAAGTTGAGTATAGTTTATGTAAAGCTGGGATTAAGACAATACAAAGGTAGTACTGAGTAGTTACCAAAATACCAAAAAAAGTGGCTCTAGTTTTTCACCCCACATTTTACCTTTGCTCTGAAGTTTTAAAACTTTGTCTTATGTTTTACTGTGTTATCTGGAATATTAGCCTATATGTTCTGGGTTTTTTGTATTTTGTAGATAGTTAGTCTTGTGTCTAGGTGGTGGTGTTTTTTAGTATGCTGCTTGCTAAGTAACGGAATGAGCCACTGTCATAAGTGCAGTTCAGAAGTGTTTGGAGCTTCATGTTGCTGCTGGCTCCGCTTTTCTGATGGAAAGAGTTGTTTACACAATAAACATTCATCTGGGGTTTATATTCCCATTCCTTTTACTGATACGAGAAGGAAGTAATCTTCAAGTAGAAAGAGGGGCAACCTTCAGAGAGAGAAGAGTAACTCTTCATCCTGTGCTAAGGCATAGTAACTGCCTGATTGAGATAGTATTATAGCACTAGCTACTCAGGAATCACTGAAATGCGAACAGAAGGCTTTTAAACAGAGAGTGACCATCGTGACCATCTGGCTTTAGACCCACAGGACTGACGTGGTCAGCCTCTTGTTTCAGATGACTAGATGCACTCAGCCCACAGTCACTGTGCTGCTAACCATGACCCTTATTTTGTGTCTCTTCCAGTGCTAGAAGCAGTGTACTTGTTTACCTGTTGTGGCCTGTGGAGTGTGTACCATACACTAAACATTAGAGTGGATGTCTGAGGTTTTCATCCACCTTTTTTCCAGACTCTGGTCATTCCTTTCCACGAAGTGCTAAGGAGCTTTTCCTTCTGGCAGAGACCAGTGGCCAGCAAAAGTGAATTTAGTCTTGGATTTTCTGTTCACAAGGGTGGCAGAAAGAAATCTTAGAAGGGACAAATATTTTAGATTCAAGTAGGGTTTCATCTCACATGCGTCTCAATGAAAGAGAATGTAGGTTTTTATATAGGTGTCTGTCTACAGGTCTTAATTATGGTAGCATCAGTTACAGCCCTGTGGTAGAAATAGTGCCAAATTCCCATTACATAACCCAGCTTGGAGGAAGTTGTGTTTGGTTTATATACCTTTACTTCACCGTGAAATTTGATTAAAACACCTAGATAAAATAGCAGATTTTTGGTTTGAAGATCAGTCAAGTTCTATATCAACATATGTGAGTCGAAAATTAATGGGAGTTGCTTCTGCATCACTTGGAACTGAGCATATGCAGCTGCTCTTAACAGAACTTTCTCCCTTCCTTTCTTCCGCATTGATGTTACTTCTCATGCATGCGCTTCACTTAGCAAGTCTGAAGTATGGGTAATTGGTCTTTGACTCAAATAAGGATGAAATTAAAATCTGACATAGAGCAAACTGGGGGTTTTTTATACTCTCAGGCAACTTCGCATTTTATTTGGTAAAGTATGAATATATTGTAGCTTTGTTAAGACTTTCATTGTAGCCACTAATATGTCTTACTTTAATGCCTTGACTCCAGCTGGAGTTAGGACTATAAGAGTAGCAACAGTGGTAGTGGTTTCTGTCCAGCCTCTGCTGAAGGAATGGCTTACCAGCTGCGTAGATGCTGCATAACCATTAGAAATTATAGGAAATTAATAAAGACCAGCACCAGTTTTCTTTTGATTAGTACACATGACTGTAAAGGCTGCTTCTAAGCAGTAACGCAATTCTTCCAGCTGGAAAGGTAACCTGTAAGAAGGTGTTCTGGCAAACCGTTAGGCTGTAGATAAAGGTGCTTGTGAGGAAAAGCACTGGTAACGACTGCACTGTGAAACAGCACTGGACTGACTGGAGTAAGAGTTGTAGTTTAGGCTGAGGCTTTTTCAGTCTATTATTAATTTGAGCATCCTAACCTAATCCTTATGAACAGTGCACACCCTTAAAAACAGACAAGCCAGCTAAGATAAAACATCACTTGTACCTGGAGCAACATGTACCTGGAGCCTGTGGCTGGGAGGGAGATGCGTTCAGTCCAGCAGCTCACACTGATGCTCACAAAGAAATGAAGTTGCTTTTACATCACAGATTGGTTATTTATTGTCATCATCGTGGTATAAACTGAGAGCGTGTAGAAGCATCTCTACTCTTGCTTTAATTTCTATCACCCTCCTCAAAGCTCTGAAACAGATTGTTTGCTTGAAAACTAGGGGACCAGACAGGTGATGAAAACATCACACAGATGCTTAAGAGAGCTCATGACTGCAGGAAGACAGCTGAGAACGCAGCAAAGGCCTTGCTGATGAAACTAGATGGGAGCTGTGGGGGAGCCTATGCAATCGCTGGCTGTAGCGTGCAGCCCTGGGAAAGCCTGTCATCCAACAGCCACACAAGGTAACTGCGACTTGTCGGCTCTCCTAATCCCCAAGTGTTTGATTTCAGACCAAAAGTTACGTTGTATTGTGTTCGCTGAACTACCTCACTCACCTCAGTACACTGGCCTCTTTGCTTTGATTTATAAGTCACCACGCCTCAGTGGTCTAATTGTCTTTAGACTTTGAGCAAATCCAGCCAAGAAGGGTTTTGTATAAATTTGTTGCAAATGGGTGACTCTGAGCTTTGATCTTCCTCATAAAGGGCAAAACCATTACGTTTTTTTTTACTTCAGTGACTTTCTTGCTGTTTTGTTGGAACTCACATCATGTACTTCTTATTCATATCTATTCTATGCAGACAGCACAGATGTATGGAGAAACAGAGATCAGAAGTATGTTTCGGTTGGTGTTTTGGAGTGCTCAAGAATTGTTTTCTAAACGTTGCAAATCCAGCCATTTTGTTTTAAACCATTTCTTCTCCCTTCTCATTCTCCTTTGCTCCCCTCCAAATTCTTCCTTCCCATGCTATTTAACACGTGGGGTGGCAAATGAACATCATGACAAAGTGGATTATTCCAGGAAAGGCTGGATATTGCAGTTTTTCTGGAGACCTATAAAACAGTGAAACTTAAATGAGCTATTAGTGCAGAAGTGTTCCAGTTCAAGTACATCTGCTGGCAGCTTCATTTTGAGCCATTGCCTGCCTGCAGTGTAATTGTTCTCTGTGCAGCGAATGTGTGTGCTTGTGTATGGATACGAATTTGGCAAGCATCTTGGATAAATATAGATGAACATTTTTCTTTTTAGAAGTTATTTTTGTTTCTCAGATTCGCTCTAAAACTTCATTTTAATTCTGGTTTTGTGCCAGTTCTTTATTCAAATGCTGTCATTTTTTGACACTTTTAGAAGTTTATTTTAGTACCATATCATTTCCTCTTCTTGCTGATGCCTCCTCCTTCCTGCCGTGTGACTAGCATGGAATATCTAAAAAGTAGGCAAAAAAGTAACCTGAGGGAACAGGGTCCAAATGTGAGGTAAATTTTAATGTTTTATTCAAAGTTTTATGGTGCACTTTCAGTCCAAGTAAGCTGTATCTTTATTCAGAAATTAACAAAGCAGCATCTGTGCTAGTAACACATTTATCACTCGGTGTACCAAAAGTATTTACTGGCCTTGGAAAAAAGTTATACAAAGCCGTTTTAAGTAATTTACTTGCCTCACTCCGAGTGCACTTATGCCATGTCTGCAACTGCATGTGAACATGTTTGTAAGTGGCTACACGTAGCAGCACCTCCACTTGGCTGAGCTCGTTTACCATTCTGTTATTTGAAAGGGTCGGTTTTGATTGTTCACAACTACCTCCATGTTTTTCTTCCTTGTGAGATACCTGATAGGTAGTCAAGGCGTGATTTTTGTTTGTTGAAAATAATTTAGATAATTTCCAGTACTGACGGGGGGAAATTGGCGGGG